TCCATTCTATTTAGCACAAATTTCTGCCGTATTCCCATGAATGAAGGCCACCTACGAATTTATCAGTGATCAGAGCAGCTGATCGTTCAGCCAGGTTGTCTTTCCAATTGGAACTACTTCCGGCCCAAGCCAAAATAACCAGTTACACAAGAGCAATATAGAAATGTGTGTGCAATTGCAATGACATACCGCATGCCACATTGTATACATCCCAGCCCCAAGCCGCTCCCACAACACCACTCTTTACGGCGACTACCGTCGCATCAAGAGTAGTTCCCATGTGTGCGAGTGTCTGTTCCAAAACTGTAAAAATGCCCAGACGGTGAATGTGCAATTGAGCGACTGCTGCTACTTCAACTTATGCCGATGCGGTCGATTTCCTGCCCCTCACTCCCCCACCCCTAATAGGACCGATCTGGTTAATATTCTGATGTCGTTGAGTAGATCTTCTACCCTAATTTGTACCCAAAAGTTTACATTGAAATAAAAACTCAAAGACTTTTGGGTTAATTCTAATTAAAACCTCCAAATATGGAACATATACTTTTATAATTTAAAGACTTTTCAATTTGTTTATCCTTGTAGCCTTGTAGTGTTTATTATAATTTCTGTCAGTAGTTTGACAGCGAAGGGTCTTTGACCCCATAAAGTATATATTCCTAATCAGCATCACCAGGAGAGTCCATCTAGCCATGCCGTCTGCCCGTTTCTACGTAAACTATTACCTCAGTTTAAGAGCTAGCCAACTGCAACTCTTCCAAATGTATATTTTCTATTGCATAAAGAGTACGACTATATCATGTAGCTCCCATTGGAGTTATCGAAAAAATAGTTTTAAAAAAGTCGTTTAGTTTTTATTATACATATACGGATATAAATAGAGATATAGTATTTTCAAAAAATTTCAGAATTAAAATTTATCGAAAAATCAAGGCTTTGGCAGACCGTAATTCACATACAAATATAAAAAACAAGAGAGAACGCTATAGTCGAGTGCCTCGACTATTAGATACCCGTTACTCAGCTAAACAAGTCATCCGTTAGATGGCGCTATTGTATTCCGCCATCTACCCCAAGACATTGGTACCACGGGCCATGAAAGGCGGAAATGTAGGCGCTAGCCAGGCTTAAGCGTTTAATGGGTTTTTGGGCGTTAGAGTGGGCGTGGCAAACTTTTATTAGGCTAATCGATAGGTATTGACGAAACAAATACATATCAATTAAAATTTTCATAATAGCATCAAAACTGTGGCCACAGCTTGTGGCTTGTGGGAGTCAGAGGGGGCGTGGCACCATTTTGAAACAAACTTGCGCTGCGTAGGAACTCCTAAAATCTACATGCAAAATGCCAATCTTCTAGTATTTATAGTTTCCGAGATCTCAGCGTTCATACGGACAGACAGACGGACATGGCTAGATCGACTCGGCTAGTGATCCTGAACAAGAATATATATACTTAATAGGGTCGGAAACGCTTCCTTCTACCTGTTACATACTTTTGCACGAATACAATATACCCTTTTACTCTACGAGTAACGGGTATAAATACTGTAAAGTTCCTTTTCCTAGTAAGCAAAACTGTTTTTGTTTAATGTTATAATTTCGATTATATTTTAAGTTATAAAAATTAATTAATTATAAATATATTTATAAACAAGAAAGGAAAGCTAACTTCGGGCGGAGCCGAAGTTGATATACCCTTGCAGAATACTCTGTAAATTATATTCTTCAATGATACAAAACTAATGTTTTTTTTTGAATATTTTGTTAATTAAATTGGTTTTTATTACAACTGATTGATCGAAAATGCCATAACTTTGGTGTTTGTAAAGTAAAGGAAGTTGGGATTTTCTATGGGTTTTATTTTTGGCCAATGCATCAAAATGAATAATTTTGAAGAATATAATTTACAGAATATTCTGCAAGGGTATATCAACTTCGGCTCCGTCCGAAGTTAGCTTTCCTTTCTTGTTTTTAATTATTTTTTGTTCTTTGGGATTTTGTTTTATTTAAATATTATTGAATTACGGTTTTAATTAAATTAAAATCGGACAACAATATCATATAGCTGCCATAGAAACGATGCACCGCAAAATCGATATATGTAGCTTCATTGTTTTTTTGTAATATAGGCATCGAAATCGAAATGTCGTTAACTGCAAGGGTATATAAACATGTTTGCTTCCTTTCTTGTTTTTAGTAATATAGGCATTTGTAAAGTTAGGAAGTTGCAATTGTTGAAATTCACCAATGTTGCACGCTTATTAATATGATGAATCGCCGTAATCGCAGTCCTCAGTCTTAAATCCTATAGAGCACCTTTTGGGGATAATAAAGAAGAGGATTGGTGGGTTTAAGTCCAAAAATAGGAAAGATTTGTTAAAGAAAGAGAAGTCCGAGTGGTACTCCATTGAACCATCAATTTGTGCCAATTTGGTGGATTCAATGGGACGCCGGTGAACCGAAGTCATTAAAATTTGCGGTGGCACAACTGTATATTAAAGTTAAAATCTAAACTAATAGACTTTGAAGCTTCAAAACTGTTTTCCATAAAATTAAATCAGTCGTTTCTATTATTTTTTCCAGGCCTACAAAATTATTTTTTAGTTCATTACGTTTTTTGAAAATTATCGTAAAATATCATTCAAAATTATTAAACTTATAAGGTCGATACAAAACCAACTTAAAAAAAAAATTGAATGAAGAAAAGTTTGATAAGTACGAAAAAAAATTGTCGTTTCTATTATTTTTTCCATGACTGTGTGTCAAATTCAAAAGAACTATGAGAATTAAGAATGCATCATAGGAATAATTTAGCTCAAAGAAGCTGGGTCGACAAAAATCGAATTTTCGAAAATTGAATAGCTTAATCGTTTGCCCATTTTTGCCCACTTTTTAATTTTTTTGCCCACCTTTAGTTTTGAAAATATGGAATCTTCGAACATTTTCGAAAACATAAAAGTTGACTTTTTCAAATTTTTATACCCTTGCAGAGGGTATAATAATTTTGGTGAAAAGTGTGCAACGCAGTGAAGGAGACATCTCCGACCCTATAAAGTATATATATTCTTTATCAGGATCATCTCCTGAGTTGATATAGCCATGTCCGTCTGCCCGTCTGTCTGTCTGCGACAATCTACCATTTTAAATTTGTTGAAACTGCTAAAAATTCTTTTGAATGGTTTTAAAAAGATGACCATTTTTCTCTATTACTGCATTAGATATTGCGACAGTTTTTTTACCACACCTCTTTTGCAGACGATTTTCCCCTCTTTGGCCCAGCTTATTTTTAATACGTCCGAATTTATCCCAGTATTTATACCCGTTACTCGTAGAGTAAAAGGGTATATTGTATTCGTGCAAAAGTATGTAACAGCTAGAAGGAAGCGTTTCCGACCCTATAAAGTATATATATTCTTGATCAGGGTCACTAGCCGAGTCGATATAGCCATGTCCGTCTGTCCGTCTGTCTGTCCGTCTGTCTGTCGGTCTGTCTGTCCGTATGAACGCTGAGATCTCGGAAACTATAAAAGCTAGAAGATTGGCATTTTGCATGCAGATTCTAGGAGTTCCTACGCAGCGCAAGTTTGTTTCAAAAAGGTGCCACGCCCCCTTTAACGCCCACAATCGCTTATATACGATTTTAAAAATTTAAATATTTCGGAAAAGTAAAAATGCAGTTTTATTGTGTTTATCAATACCTATCGAAATGTAGAAGAAATTTTTCAAATCGGACCATTCGTTAAAAAGTTATGCATGATCAAAGTTTCTATCTCCATCTCCCTCGCACTCCCTTTACCTGAGTAACGGGTATCTGATAGTCGGGGCACCCGACTATAGCGTTCTCTCTTGTTTTTCTCTGTGCTTTTCGGCTTGTTTTTGTTTTGAAACTAGGCCATACGGATACAACAAAGTAAAATATAAAAGCTAGGTATAACTGGATTCGCGAGGACTACTCCTCTTTTTTCCTACCTTTTGGTCAGAGGAGCCCACTTGTAGTTCACAAATTTTCACAGTGAAAATCGAATCAGCATACATTTCTTGTGGAAAATTACAGAACGCCCCCTTCTTATTCATCCTCAGTTGAATATCACACAAATTAACCAAAACGAAAGAGATAGATGTGAACACAAAAAAATTTAGTGGTTTTTGGTTTAACATTTTTATAAAATGGAACTGGAATTTTTTGTCAGCATGGTAGTCGATCAAAATGATTTGTGTGTTTTGGCTTTAATATAAATAAAAATTGCATAATAACAATTAAGATAATAACAGGAGAGAACGCTATAGTCGAGTGCCTCGACTATTAGATACCCGTTACTCAGCTAAACAACTTAATGTAAAAATGCCTTCTTGTATGTTTTTCGCCGCTCGAATTAGCACCTTGGCCAGCTGTTCCAAATTCATCCGTTAGATGGCGCTATTGAAAGGCGGAAATGTAGGCGCTAGCCAGGCTTAAGCGTTTAATGGGTTTTTGGGCGTTAGAGTGGGCGTGGCAAACTTTTATTAGGCCAATCGATAGGTATTGACGAAACAAATACATATCAATTAAAATTTTCATAATAGCATCAAAACTGTGGCCATAGCTTGTGGTTTGTGGGCGTCAGAGGGGGCGTGGCACCAAACTTGCGCTGCGTAGGAACTCCTAAAATCTACATGCAAAATGCCAATCTTCTAGCTTTTATAGTTTCCGAGACCTCAGCGTTCATACGGACAGACAGACAGACAGACAGACAGACAGACAGACGGACAGACGGACATGGCTAGATCGACTCGGCTAGTGATCCTGAACAAGAATATATATACTTTATAGGGTCGGAAACGCTTCCTTCTACCTGTTACATACTTTTGCACGAATACAATATACCCTTTTACTCTACGAGTAACGGGTATAAAAATAGTTTAAGCTTTAAAGTTTGCTCAAATATAATTTTTAATCGTACGAGCTAAAGTTATTTTACTCTAATTGAATTCTTTGAAGAAAAATAAATGCAACTTACCTTCGACGAGAACAATGGATGACAGACATATTTCAGTTTTCATAATTGTTAAAAATTTAATAACACGTTTCAATATTGTATTTCTAAACAGTTTCCTTTGCTCTTTCTTTTTAGCTTTTGGCGACGGCTTTCTTCGGTAGCAAAAAAAAAATCGAAAAAAAAAATTGGGGGAAATCGCAAAGAAGATTTAGAGTTAGTGGGAGAAAATGAACTATGGATGGGAATTCGGATCTCTTGAAAAACTTTTTTTCTTCCCTCTCTCTCTGGATTTGCTCTCTGGTTTCTATTGTTTTTTTTTCTGACTAGCAATTTTATTAATTTAAGTTAAAATTTTATTATTAGCAGTTATTCTTCCCGCTGCTATTGCTTGCTTGATCTTTTGTTTGCAAGTTTTTGTCGCTGTTGACGCATATCATTTTTACTTTTACACCTTCGCGGCAAGCACTCGAATATCCTTTAATCTCAATTATGCTTTTAGTCGTCATCGATCTGAAATGGGAGCATTAAAGAATGGCGGGTAATGAGAATTGAATTTTTTTTTATTCGGATCTAAATTTAATTTATATAGTATTAAAAAACCAGTGTTTATAAAAACAACAAAGGAAGCAAACTATGGCAAGCCGAAGTTTATATACCCTTGCCGTTATTACAAAACGACTGCATTTTGATTTCTATGATTATATTACTAACAAGAGAGAACGCTATAGTCGGGTGCCCCGACTATCAGATACCCGTTACTCAGGTAAAGGGAGTGCGAGGGAGATGGAGATCGAAACTTTGATCACGCATAACTTCTTAACGAATGGTCCGATTTAAAAAATTTCTTCTACATTTCGATAGGTATTGATAAACACAATAAAACTGCATTTTTACTTTTCCGAAATATTTAAATTTTTAAAATCGTATATAAGCGATTGTGGGCGTTAAAGGGGGCGTGGCACCTTTTTGAAACAAACTTGCGCTGCGTAGGAACTCCTAGAATCTGCATGCAAAATGCCAATCTTCTAGCTTTTATAGTTTCCGAGATCTCAGCGTTCATACGGACAGACAGACGGACAGACAGACGGACAGACAGACGGACAGACGGACAGACGGACATGGCTATATCGACTCGGCTAGTGACCCTGATCAAGAATATATATACTTTATAGGGTCGGAAACGCTTCCTTCTAGCTGTTACATACTTTTGCACGAATACAATATACCCTTTTACTCTACGAGTAACGGGTATAATTACGTTTTTGGACGCTTAAATTCTTACAAAACTATCTATTTCGACGAAATAAAAATTTTTACATGAAAAAACGATTGTTCAAGTACTAATAAAATTCATTACGAACATTTAAAAAAAAACTTGAAGAAAATCGGTTCAGTAGTTTTTCGCCAATCCATATCACCGCAAAGTCATTTAAAAACAAGAAAGGAAAGCTAACTTCGGGCGGAGCCGAAGTTGAAATACCCTTGCAGAATATTCTGCAAATTATATTCTCCAAAATTATTCATATGATGAATTCTTAATAACAAATACTAAAGTTATGGCATTTCCGATCAATCAGTTATATGGCAGCTATAAGATATAGTAGTCCTTTTGAAATTTGGTAGGTCGGATTAATTGGCCAAATATAAAACCCATAGAAAATCCCAACTTCCTAACTTAACAAACAGCAGAGTTATGGCATTTCCAATCAATCAGTTATATGGCAGCTATAGGATATAGTCGGCCGATTCTTATGAAATTTAGTACGTCGGATTGATTGGGCAAAAATAAAACCCATAGAAAATCCCAACTTCCTAACAAACACTAAAGTTATGGCATTTCCGATCAATCAGTTATATGGCAGCTATAAGATATAGTCGGCCGATCCTTATGAAATTTGGTAGGTCGGATTAATTGGCCAAATATAATACCCATAGAGAGTCCCAACTTCCTAACTTAACAAACAGCAGAGTTATGGCATTTCCGATCAATCAGTTATATGGCAGCTATAGGATATAGTCGGCCGATCCCGGCCGTTCCGACTTATATACTGCGTGCAAAGGAAAGAAGGGTGTGTGCAAAGTTTCAATTCGATATCTTTAAAACTGACAGACTAGTTCGCGTAGAAACAGACAGACGGACAGACGGATTGCTAGCTTCTAAACTGAGCTCGCAAACGGTATTGAAACAGACGGACAGACGGACGGACGGACAGACGGACGGACGGACAGACGGACATGGCTATATCAACTCAGGAGATGATCCTGATCAAGAATATATATACTTTATAGCGTCGGAGATGTCTCCTTCACTGCGTTGCACACTTTTGACCAAAATTATAATACCCTCTGCAAGGGTATAAAAAACCATTTCGAAATATTCGCGTTTAAAGTTTCAAGTTTGGGTTTGGGCGGGGACGAGGCGCGCGGCAAGGGTGCTGTAACTTTTTTTCTACTGCTCAAATCTGTATGAAAATTTTGGGAAATATTCTCAAGATAAAAAAAAAAATTTCGATTTTTTGAAAATGAAAAAGGTATATACCCCCTTAATAGACCATCACTTTTTTTTAGCATATCCTTTGATGTAATGGTGTGCTGGCGGATCCTGAGCTCCTGGAGCTTCCACAAATGCTCAATGGGATTGAAATCTGGGGACTGTGGTGGCGAATTTAACAGATTTTTCATATTATAGAGCACCCAAGGCTTCGTATTCATGGCACAATGCTTTAGGTCGTTGTCCTGTTGGAACCAAAAGTCCTCCTCCAGTCCCAGTTTCGTGACGCTTTGATGTAAAATTTTCTTTTAGGATGTTGATATACATCTTGTGATCCATTGTGGACTCAATGAAAACAAGATTTCCAACTCCTCTGGCCACCAAACATACCCAAACCATAATGCCACCACCACCGTGCTTAAAGGTTGGGGCACGGTTTTGGATGTCGAGGGCTGTACCATTCTTTCGCCACACAAGCTTACGGACCTTTATCCCGAATATGCAAAACTTGCATTCGTTGCTAAAAATCACTTTTTTCCAGAATTTTATTGCATTTTCTGGAGAATTCTATTCGTTGGATTTTGTTGACTTGATATGAATGGTTTCTTCCGGGCAGTATGGCTGTTATAGTCTTCATTCTTCAAAATTTTGCGAACAGTGCCATCATGATGATCGTTATTATACATTTCCTTAATATCCTTTGCCATTTGGGAGGCTGTTGTGGTTGGAATTATTTTTATTGTCTTCAAAACGCTTCTCCTCCCACGCTCAGAAAGTTTGGTGGTCTACCAGAGCGGGGTTTTGACCCACAGGAACCCGATAAATTGAAATGTTCAAGGACTCTTTTTACAAAGCAGTGTGCTCTGGCAACTATCCCACCAATTTCCCGACTAGTTTTCCCTTCATCACGTAGTTTTACTATGTCTTTCCTCAAATCATGGTCAATTTCTTTTATATTTTTCCCCATTATAAAAATATCTTCTGGTTACAACATAAATATGGTAGATTTGATTACAAACAAGTAAACAAACTTTGATTTACAGTTATCAATGCCAAAACTGCAATTTAAACGCTTTTAATACCGTCCTTTTTGATTTCTTTTTTTTGTACGCATACTTTTTCTGATGCGAAATCGGGCCATTTTGCACATTTTTCTTAATATTAGGAAAAGTATAAGTGTTAGAAATTTAAGAGTTACACCAAACGAGAGGTGAATAAATGTGTTATCTGCTAAAATAAAAATGAAATGCTTAATATTTTTTCAACATGTTTTTATACCCTTGCAGAGGGTATTATAATTTTGGTCAGAAGTTTGTAACGCAGTGAAGGAGACGTTTCCGACCCCATAAAGTATATTCTTGATCAGGATCAATAGAGGATTCGATATAGCCATGTCCGTCTGTCCGTCCGTCCGTCTGTTTCAATACCGTTTGCGAGCTCAGTTTAAAAGCTAGCGATCTGAAACTTTCACAGTTGTCCTAAAACATGTGTACGCAGATCAAGTTTGAAAACCGCCCCGATCGGTTGCCTATAATCCTATAGTTCCCATAGGAACAATCGGATATAACTTTCAAGAATGGAAGATATTACGCGCAGTGTAAAAGCTATTAACATAAATCTTTCCAAATCTTATTTTTTTTATGCATACCTTGATCAGGGTAAAAGCGCTTGGCGATCGGACGTCTATATCCTATAGCTCCCATAGGAACAATAGGGTAAAATCTGTTAAAATTTAATGATTTTTAGGATATTTCGCACAGTATATAAGCAATTCACATGAATCTTTCCAAATCGTATTTTTTTATGCATACCTTGATTAGGGTAAAAGCACGTGACGATCGGACTTCTATATCCTATAGCTCCCATAGGAACAATAGGGTGAAACCGGTCCAAATTTGATGATTTTCGGAATTTTTCCCGTAGTGTGTAAGTTACTGTCATAAATTTTTCAAAGTCTTATTTATTTACGCATATCTTGATTAGGGTAAAAGCGCTTGCCGATCGTACGTCAATATCTTATAGCTTCAGTAGGAAAAATTGTTAAAGGCTGCGAAAGTATCCCTTTTTTTCTATTTTTATATGACATTTTTGCAGTATAAAAGCAATTGACATCAAACGATGCAAATCTAGTTTATTTATGTATAGCTTATTCCTTTCGCTACTTTTTCTGTTTTAGCAATTTCGGCAAAGTCTGCAAGGTGTGATGGTCAGCTTTGTATGTGTACGGCTTAAGTCATATACATATGTAGTTTTGAGAGTCACTTTGTTTGTCTTATCTTATCTCTAAAACAAAAGCTCAAAAGATAAAGCCACGCTTGTGTAAAAGAACTTTGGTTAGCTGATTTATCTTAGTCAGCAATACTATCTGTTTTTTTTTGAAGTAAGCTTATCCTACGCCCACGCGGTTCATGGAAAATTTTAAGCATGTGCATTTAGTTGGTCAGAGTCTCTCAAATAAATCAGATCGTTCTTGGAGTAAATAAAATCGTACACTTAAAACACGTGATAATTTTTGCACATGCCAAATAAATATAAAAAGGCAATTTTAATCAAAGTGCGTTACAAAAATATTAAGTGCATAATAGAAAACCGATCAAGAGACGTAGGAAGAACCTAACTTGGCAAAACATATATCTGTGCAGGTAAAATTTGTCACGAAAAATATCAATACATGTGACTGAAATAAAACATAAAGTTTCAGGATTTGTGGTTGGATTTAAATCCACCAATTAATGAAACTGCACCTTCTGACGAAGCACCACAAAATAATTTAGCTGTTAAGCTGGCCAAGCGACGTTCAACCTGATCAACTAAAAACTCACAGCAGCGCAGCGTAAAGGAAATAACTTGGATGAGAATTAAAACTATATATACTGGACGAAAAAACAACGAAAAGAGCATGCTACCACAGATATTTTTTTAATTAATAATTTTTATATTTATATAACCTAACCTTAACCATTAAAGTTACAGCCACTCAGCTACAGGCCTGCATGCACACGTGGATTTAAAAAGGTAACAAGTAAAAACAAAAAATAAAAAAAATAAATAAAATTTAATAAGATTATTATGCATATATATATATAAAAAATTTAAAAAAAACAAACAAATTAATGGTAGTCAAGTAAAAAAATGAAAAGTCAATTTCTATAGTTTTATAGTTTTGTTCAATGGAAAATTATATATAATCAAATTAATTATTTAAACACTATTTAACCTTTCAATAAATTAAGAATACATATATTATGATAAACCTTCTCTCAAGAAATTAAAATGAAGTATTTGTTAATAATTAGAAAAGAGATAAGATATTGAAATGATTATTTTTATATACATATTTATTGCTATTAAGAACAAGAATTATATTTGAATGTTAACATGGAATTGAAACTGAACTAATTTAATATAATGGGGTACTAAAAGAAAAACCAACACACATCAAATCACTTAAGGGTTAACACACCAAATTCAAAGCATTGCAAAGTGTTAACAAGGTTGGGCGGGTAAAATAGAGCACTTACACCAAGCTCATAAAAAAAAAAAAAAAAATAATAAAACAATACGCATAAACATAACTAAAATTGTAACATCTGGCTAGGTTAGCACATTCTCTTGTAATTTCGTTAGCTATTTTTGATAAAAGATCCCTCCCCAATCCGACGAAGTCCTAGCCGAAAACGTCCCAGTGCTAACCGCTCTTAAATCAAATATAGTTAAAAGGCAACTCCTGTTGCCACGAGAAACATTACAAAAGTGGCGCCCAAAGTGTAGGCAAAGAACAAACAAAGGCATTAAAATTAATAAAGAAAATTTTTGAATTTAACACCAACATCCGTTAAGCCTTATTCGTTCAAAGCTATGTCTAAGCAATTAAAATAATTGTTGGAGAAACCTCTGGAATACAGCTGATGTAGTGGTACAATACTGTACATAGCCGTCCGAAGTATGCGAAAACAATTGTTTTATGAGCTAAAATAAGAATTTTGTGATAGGAATGTAACATTGCCTGTGGATTTCTTTAAGGTTATTATGCTAGTCATTAACTTTACTGCCCAGAACAATTTTCCTTTTGCATTGACGTACCGTCCTTATTAAAGACAAAATATTTAAATAATTGTGGGAAAAGTTAAATTTTTGCGTATATAAAAAAAAAATGATGTGTTTTGTTTTTTTATTAGTACCCCTGAAAGAAAGAAACTTTTGAGAATTCGTCACTGTGAGTGAAATAAATTAGAGCAAAATGTCAGTGAGACACAGTTTAGATCGGCCAAGTATGCCAAACAATGAAAGTAGTTGTGAAATATGTTCTCAGCCAATGTCGCAATTAGATATGAGATTAATTACTAGATGTATGCATACTTTTCACAGATTGTGTATATTGAATTGGCTTGATAGTTCTCGTATATGCCCGGTTTGTAACCATAACGTAACAAGAAATAGTCTTATGGAAGTCGTTCCAAGAGAAGGTTTAGAGCAAAACAGGGAAACCGATTCCAACGGAAGATTGTTATTAGCGGACAAAAGAAGAAAAAGAAAAGAGTACCCGAGTCAGAGGTAACAGCCGCTAATAACGACCAAGTTACACCTAGAGACGAAAATATAGAAAATTCTTATAATTCTGAGGATAATAGGCATTCGAATTCAGTAGAGCAAAGAATAGTAAATCAGATAGAACGTCGAGTTAATTCACAACTTGACCAAATGAATTTAACTATTGAAGGGCTTTCACGACAAATTTCTAGAATGACAACAGATCAGATCAATCGAAGATCACTTGAAACTGCAGCTAATATTGAACCAGAGTGGGGTAGAAGTATAACTCCTGTAGGATTAAATGGAGAAGCTCCTCCTTTCGTTCCAAGTGTTTCTCAAGGCCAAAATAATCAAGAAAGAATGAGCAGAAGTAATAGCATCAGTGCAGATATTGGAAAAATAGTAAATGTTATAAGTGGTTGGAAATTACAGTATAATGGTTCTAGAAATGGTATGCCTGTTGGAAAATTTATTTATATGGTGACTGCCTTGACAAATGATTGTTTGGATGGTAAATTTGAAATTTTGTGCGATCATATCCACATACTTTTTAGTGGGAGAGCGAGTGAATGGTTCTGGAGGTATAGGCGTACGGTTGACAAAGTAGTATGGAAAAGTCTCTGCAGCTCTCTTAGTTCTTATTTTCACGATCCATTGTCAGATGACGACGTAAGAGAATTAATAAGGGATAGAAAGCAACAACCCAATGAGAGTTTTGATGAATTCCATAATGCAATTATGTTGTTGGTAGATCGGTTACAATATCCAATAAGCGAAAGTCAATTAGTTTCAGTACTTAAACGTAACCTAAGACCTTTTCTGCGAAAAGAGCTTTTCTATTTGGAAATAAATTCTTTAGGAAACTTACGAAATCTTGTAACACGAAGAGAAGCTTTTAGTGAGGAATTTAACAATAATTATAATACAAAGATTAATCGAAAAGTAAATGAAATATGTATAGACGATCGAAGTATGAACGATTATTTAATGGAAAATGAAATTTGTGAAATAAAAGGAGATAAAGCTGATGATATGAAAATACTGTGTTGGAATTGTAGAAAATATGGACATAAATTCATAGATTGTCAATTTGAAAGAAAAATATTTTGTATGGGATGTGGCACAGAAAATGTGAAACGACCAAATTGCGAGTTATGTCAGAAAAACAGAAGGTCGAATGGATATGACAACACCATCTATCGTTCCAATCCAAAAAACTGATTAATTTGGATGACTTAACTCATCCATCGCCAAAATATGTTAAAAATATAAATATAGGACAGAATGACGTTAAAGGAAAATTATATCCTATAATACCATATCATGTTCGATTAAGAAATTATATTAGAGTCCGTAACAAAATCTTTAACCAGAGTAAAGAAATTGGAATTGATGTTAGGAACAGACCTAAGCGAAACTCTTTACGATTGCGTAATTTTTTTAAAAAAATTAAAGATAAATCGCAAAGATTGACGGTTAGTTTAGATGCAATGCTTAGCAAAGACAAAGATGTTAGACCATTTGTAGAAGTGAGAATTTTTGGTAAAATATATGGCGGATTATTAGATTCCGGTGCATCTGTCTCGTGTTTAAGTGGACAAGCAGCCAAGGAATATTTAAACAAAAATAAGGATTTTAATGTTAGCAATTCACTAGTAGAAACTGCTAGAGGTCAAAAATATAATGTTCTTGGAACCGTTGAAACCGAAGTTACATTTCGTAATCAGTCTAAATTGGTAACGCTTTATATAATACCTGAACTGAAACAAGATCTTTATTTGGGAATTGACTTTTGGTACATCTTTGGTTTAATGAGTCAACTAAACCAGTCAATATACGTTAGCGAACTGAATTTACCAGACACTCTGAGTGGTGAACAAAAACAGCAAATGACGAAAGTAATATCATTGTTTCCAGATTTCAACAGGGATGGCTTAGGAAAAACATCTATTTTAGAGCATGCCATTGAAATTATTCCCGAAGCAAAACCTATTAAGCAAAGATATTTTTCGGTATCTCCTGCGATAGAGAAAAAAATACACGCAGAGATTGATGAGATGATCAAATTAGGAGTGATAGAAACCGCACATCCGACTTGTTCATGGAGTAGTCCTGTAGCTGTAGTACAGAAAGGAGAAAAGTTTCGAATATGCCTTGACTCTCGCAAAGTGAACGCAGTAACTATTAAAGATGCGTATCCACAACCAAAAATTAATGGAATTCTTTCAAGATTACCCAAAGCTAAATTTATAACTTCTTTAGATCTTAAACATGCATTTTGGCAAATAGGTTTGAAGGAATCTTGTAGAGATTTGACTGCATTTACTGTGCCAAACCGACCTTTGTACAGATTCAAGGTAATGCCTTTTGGTTTAACCAATGCAGCTCAAACAATGTGTCGTTTAATGGACGTTATTATTCCACCTGATCTTAAAAGCCGTGTATTTGTTTATCTTGATGACTTATTGTTGGTCAGTGAAACATTTACTCAGCACATAAGTCTGCTTAAAGTAATGGCTGACGTGTTGCGAAATGCAGGTTTGACATTAAATTTAGAAAAATGTAAATGGTGTGTTCCTGAAGTTCGTTATCTTGGATTTGTGATAGGCAACGGCTGTATTAAGGTAGATCCAAAAAGAGTATCAGCAATAAAAGATTTACTTCCTCCAAAAACTGTTAGAGAATTGCGTAAATTTTTAGGTTGTGCCGGTTGGTATCGTAGGTTCCTGGAAAATTATGCAACAATAACAGCACCTCTCACAGATCTAACCAAAAAGAGCAAAGACTATAAATGGACGGATGAGGCTAACCAGGCATTTGAAGAGGTAAAAAGTAGATTAACTTCAGCACCATTATTAGTGACACCGAATTTTGAGAAGCCCTTTATTATTCAATGCGATGCTTCGAAAACAGGCGTTGGTGGTGTTCTTGCTCAACTTGATGACGATAATATAGAAAGACCAATTGCATTTTTTTCACATAAATTAAACCAGTCTCAGCAGAAATTTTGTGTCACAGAATTAGAATGTTTAGGTGCTATACTGAGTATCGAGAAGTTTAGAGAATATGTGGAAGGCCTCGAATTTAAAGTTATTACGGATCATGCGAGCTTAAAATGGTTAATGCGGCAAACTGATCTCAACGGTCGCTTAGCTAGATGGGCGTTAAAATTGCAACATTATACCTTCGAAATTGAACACCGAAAAGGAAGCCTAAATATAGTTCCTGATGCGCTATCGCGATTGCCAGTCAAGGAAATTAATGAAATAGATGTTGTTTTACCAGTAATCGATTTGGATTCACCTTATTTTTGGTCTAACGACTACGTTTTGCAGAAAAATGTCATACTAGAGAATCAAAATCGTTTACCAGATCTCAAAGTTGTGGATCAGTATATATATCGTAGAAATCAGTTTTATAGAGACGACGTATGCGAGTCAAACTGCTGGGAGCTATGGGTACCATCCGAGTTGACTAAATCAGTTATAGAGAACGCTCACTCACCACCTCATAATGCTCATGGAGGTATAGGAAAAGCCTTAGAGAGACTTCGCAGAAATTTCTATTGGCCAAGCATGGCGATAGAAGTGAAAAACTTTATTGCGCGGTGTAATGTTTGTAAACAATCAAAAGCCCCAAATATCACACTGAAACCACCTATGGGAAACCCGGCAATAAGTGAAAGGCCATTTCAACGCCTTTATATGGATTTTATTGGACCTTATCCTAGGTCAAAGAGAGGAAATATAGGAGTGTTTATTGTGTTAGATCACCTAACTAAGTTTCATTTCCTTAAACCTTTGCGAAAATTTACAGCAGATCTCGTTGTAGACTTTTTGAGTACCAATATTTTTCATGTATTTGGTGTTCCAGAATGCATTGTGACGGATAATGGAAGTCAATTTAAATCCTCACTGTTTAAGTCATTTCTTGGAAGGCATGGGATAAAACATTTTCTAACAGCTATTTATAGTCCCCAATCAAACGCATCTGAACGCCTCAATAGATCCATAATATCAGGCATTCGATCATATCTTGGTGCAGATCAACGGTTATGGGATGAGAAAATCAGCAACATTTCAGCAGCATTACGCTCTGCTTATCATTCAGTAATCGGATGCTCACCATACTTTGCACTTTTTGGAAACAATATGGTTTCGCATGCGAAAGATTATGACCTGTTAAGAAAATTAGAAAGTCTTAAAATAGGTGAAAGAATTTTAGATTCAGACAAGCTACAAGTTATACGGGAAACCATAATGGCAAATATCAGCAAGGCATATATATCTAATAAAAGGGTATATGATCTTCGTACCAGGTTTGTGACATATGAACTAGGAGAACAAGTTTATAGGCGAAATTTTGCTCTGAGTAATAAATTAAAAAAATTCAATGCAAAGCTTGCTCCAAAGTTTTTAAAAGCAAAAATTGTTCGCAAACACGGTAACCATTGTTACGAATTAGAAGAGAATGGTAAAGTAATTGGAAAATTTCACGCAAAAGATCTTCAAAAGTGTATGACTTAATGAATCTGACCGATTTTTCAGCTTCTTTTATCACTGTAAAAGCTAATAAAATAATCTGTGTTGTGATGGTCAGCTTTGTATGTGTACGGCTTAAGTCATATACATATGTAGTTTTGAGAGTCACTTTGTTTGTCTTATCTTATCTCTAAAACAAAAGCTCAAAAGATAAAGCCACGCTTGTGTAAAAGAACTTTGGTTAGCTGATTTATCTTAGTCAGCAATACTATCTGTTTTTATACCCTTGCAGAGGGTATTATAATTTTGGTCAAAAGTGTGCAACGCAGTGAAGGAGACATCTCCGACCCTATAAAGTATATATATTCTTGATCAGGATCACCTCCTGAGTTGATATAGCCATGTCCGTCTGTCCGTCTGTCCGTCTGTCCGTCTGTCCGTCTGTCTGTCCGTCTGTCTGTTTCTACGCGAACTAGTCTCTCAGTTTTGAAGATATCGAATTGAAACTTTGCACACACCCTTCTTTCCTTTGCACGCAGTATATAAGTCGGAACGGCCGGGATCGGCCGACTATATCCTATAGCTGCCATATAACTGATTGATCGGAAATGCCATAACTCTGCTGTTTGTTAAGTTAGGAAGTTGGGACTCTCTATGGGTATTATATTTGGCCAATCAATCCGACGTACCAAATTTCATAAGGATCGGCCGACTATATCCTATAGCTGCTATATAACTGATTGATCGGAAATGCCATAACTTTGGTGTTTGTTAAGTTAGGAAGTTGGGATTTTCTATGGGTTATATATTTGGCCAATTAATCCGACCTACCAAATTTCATAAGGATCGGACGACTATATCTTATAGCTGCCATATAACTGATTGATCGGAAATGCCATAACTTTGGTGTTTTTAAAGTTAGGAAGTTGGGATTTTTTATGAGTATTAAGAATGCATCATATGAATTATTTTGGAGAACATAATTTGCAGAATATTCTGCAAGGGTATTTCAACTTCGGCTCCGCCCGAAGTTAGCTTTCCTTTCTTGTTTTTTTTGAAGTAAGCTTATCCTACGCCCACGCGGTTCATGGAAAATTTTAAGCATGTGCATTTAGTTGGTCAGAGTCTCTCAAATAAATCAGATCGTTCTTGGAGTAAATAAAATCGTACACTTAAAACACGTGATAATTTTTGCACATGCCAAATAAATATAAAAAGGCAATTTTAATCAAAGTGCGTTACAAAAATATTAAGTGCATAATAGAAAACCGATCAAGAGACGTAGGAAGAACCTAACTTGGCAAAACATATATCTGTGCAGGTAAAATTTGTCACGAAAAATATCAATACATGTGACTGAAATAAAACATAAAGTTTCAGGATTTGTGGTTGGATTTAAATCCACCAATTAATGAAACTGCACCTTCTGACGAAGCACCACAAAATAATTTAGCTGTTAAGCTGGCCAAGCGACGTTCAACCTGATCAACTAAAAACTCACAGCAGCGCAGCGTAAAGGAAATAACTTGGATGAGAATTAAAACTATATATACTGGACGAAAAAACAACGAAAAGAGCATGCTACCACAGATATTTTTTTAATTAATAATTTTTATATTTATATAACCTAACCTTAACCATTAAAGTTACAGCCACTCAGCTACAGGCCTGCATGCACACGTGGATTTAAAAAGGTAACAAGTAAAAACAAAAAATAAAAAAAAATAAATAAAATTTAATAAGATTATTATGCATATATATATATAAAAAATTTAAAAAAACAAACAAATTAATGGTAGTCAAGTAAAAAAATGAAAAGTCAATTTCTATAGTTTTATAGTTTTGTTCAATGGAAAATTATATATAATCAAATTAATTATTTAAACACTATTTAACCTTTCAATAAATTAAGAATACATATATTATGATAAACCTTCTCTCAAGAAATTAAAATGAAGTATTTGTTAATAATTAGAAAAGAGATAAGATATTGAAATGATTATTTTTATATACATATTTATTGCTATTAAGAACAAGAATTATATTTGAATGTTAACATGGAATTGAAACTGAACTAATTTAATATAATGGGGTACTAAAAGAAAAACCAACACACATCAAATCACTTAAGGGTTAACACACCAAATTCAAAGCATTGCAAAGTGTTAACAAGGTTGGGCGGGTAAAATAGAGCACTTACACCAAGCTCATAAAAAAAAAAAAAAAAATAATAAAACAATACGCATAAACATAACTAAAATTGTAACATCTGGCTAGGTTAGCACATTCTCTTGTAATTTCGTTAGCTATTTTTGATAAAAGATCCCTCCCCAATCCGACGAAGTCCTAGCCGAAAACGTCCCAGTGCTAACCGCTCTTAAATCAAATATAGTTAAAAGGCAACTCCTGTTGCCACGAGAAACATTACAAAGGGTATTAAAACTTCGACTTGCCAAAGTAAGCTTCCGTCCTCGTTTTAAACTCCAAAGTTGCGGAACATGTTTGTACGCATACTTTTTCTAGCATGTGTAAATTGATTTTATAAGTGGAGACGTGTTACGACCATCTTTTAATAGTTACACACACAATTTTTAAAACTACATATATAATTTAGCCTTACATTTTAATAATGTGTATAAAAACCGTCTGCGCTAGGAACAACAACAAACACAAGCAGAACAAGCAGTATCCCAAGCAGTCCTATGCCATTATCTTCCCCCTTCCGTCAAGCAGAACGAGCACAGGCAGACATCTTCTCTTTCCCTCGCTTCACCTATCCACCTCTTCCTCTCGCTCCACAAATAACGGTGTGTTGTGTGTGGCACGCGAAACTTAGAAATTAATAAATATGTACACTCACTCGCATATCTCTGCGTACACCTCCAAAAAATGTCAAAATCAAACTTTAAACATTAATTCTTCGGCCATTTATGCATGTATTTTATTCATTATTTTTTTAAACAAAAGTATAGTTTATTGTCTTTATTGACGTACAAATATTAGAAATATTCAACAGGGGGTTATATTTTATTTTAAATTTTAAACTTAACACTACGAAAAAGTGTACGCGCAAAAGTCTGCGTACAGCCGTTTTGAACTTCGAGGAATTCAGGATTGTGCGATTACCGTTAATTTTGTTGTCGCCGATTTACTTTAGAATGTCTAAAAATAGACATTACGCAGTTAAAATGAAACTCTTTCATTATAATAACGAGCATATTGCAACATGGAACAAAAAGGCAAGGAAATTTCTGTTGAGGAGCGGAAAATTATATTAAAAGGTTTTTTGGATGGAAAATCTTATAGAGAAATTGGTGCTTTAGTTGGTAGAACCCACTCATCCATCCAAAGAGTGATAAATAACTACAACTCGGCTGGAAGTATCTTTCCAAAGGCTCGTTCTGGCCGTCCGCCTTGGCTTATAAACCGCGAGCAGAGGAATATTATCAAATCTATTCAGCTCAACCCAAGGACGACAGCTCATCAGGCAAAGCTGAAGGTCGAGGATATATTTTCCAAAACAGTTTCCGAGGATACTGTACGCCGGACCATAAAAAAGTCCGACTATCATAGCAGAGTCGCCCGCAAAAAACCTCTCATATCGCAAGTCAATAGACAAAAGCGCCTAACCTTTACTAATGAGTATATTTCCAAACACCAAGACTTCTGGAATAATGTTATATTTTCCGACGAAAGTAAATTCTGCATATTTGGAATCGAGGGAAAGGTTTTGGTATGTAGGAAAAGCGGAGAAGCCTTTAATAAAGAAAATTTGGTTGGCACAGTAAAGCAAGGAGGAAGCGGAATAATGGTGTGGGGGTGTATGGCAGCAAGTGGCGTTGGAAAATTGGTATTTATCGAGTCAATAATGGATCAAAAAATCTATATTGACATATTAAACAGCAATTTAAAAGAAAGTGCTGAAAAATTAGGGCTCAAAAGTGAATATTGGTTCCAACAAGACAACGACCCGAAGCACACGGCACAGAATACCAAGCTTTGGCTGCTGTATAACGTCAAAAATCAGCTGCGAACACCTCCCCAGAGTCCTGATCTAAGCCCAATTCAGCATTTGTGGGATTTTCTTGCGAGGAAAATCCGAAGACACACGATAACATCTAGAAAAATGCTCAAGAATGTGATTCTCGAGGAGTAGGGGAAAATTACTGCAGATGAGACAAAAAAAAAAGTGGATTCAATGCCGAGACGCCTTACGGAAGTTTTGCAGAGAAAAGGATACCCTACCAGTTACTAAAAATAATATTATTTGTGTTTTAAATAGGTGTACGCAGACTTTTGCGGGTACATTTTTTGGTAGAGTTAAGTTTAAAATTAAAAATAAAATATAAGACACTGTTGAATAATTTAAAAAAAAATACGTCAATGAAGACAATAAATTATAATTATGTTTAAAAAAAAGAATGGGTTTAATATATGCATAAATGGCCGAACAGCTAGGGTTTAAAGTTAGATTTTGAAATTTTTTTGGGGTGTACGCAGAGATATGCGAGTGAGTGTACATTATTTCAGGTTTCTGTATTTTAATTTCAAAAATATTAGATATTGCTTCTAAATTGTTGCATTAAGAAAGTAGACAAAAACTAAAACTGAACGAGTTAAGAAATGGTATTTAATGCAATGGTTATTTTTATACCCGTTACTCGTAGAGTAAAAGGGTATATTGTATTCGTGCAAAAGTATGTAACAGGTAGGAGGAAGCGTTTCCGACCCTTAAAGTATATATATATTCTTGTCCAGGATCACTAGCCGAGTCGATCTAGCCATGTCCGTCTGTCCGTCTGTCTGTCTGTCCGTATGAACGCTGAGATCTCGGAAACTATAAAAGCTAGAAGATTGGCATTTTGCATGTAGATTTTAGGAGTTCCTACGCAGCGCAAGTTTGTTTCAAAATGGTGCCACGCCCCCTCTGACGCCCACAAGCCACAAACTGTGGCCACAGTTTTGATAATATTATGAAAATTTTAATTAATATGTATTTGTTTCGTCAATACCTATCGATTGGCCTAATAAAAGTTTGCCTCGCCCACTCTAACGCCCAAAAACCCATTAAACGCTTAAGCCTGGCTAACGCCTACATTTCCGCCTTTCATGGCCCGTGGTACCAATGTCTTGGGGTAGATGGCGCAATACAATAGCGCCATCTAACGGATGACTTTGGAACAGCTGGCCAGGGTGCTCAACAGAGTCAACGTTAATTCTCGATAAGGATTTCTATTAAAGGAAACTGCGATGGTTTTCATTTGTCAATACCGAACTATATCCCAAGAACTATGCAAATCAAATTAAGTTAGGTCTGATTCAAACAATGGCGTATGTGTGTATGTATGTAAGCATATACATATGTATGTATTTACATTGTACACAGTTGCAATTGCCCGGCAAAGATAACTCCTTTCAAAGAAAGCTATTCGCTATACCCTTTACTCGTGTTGTGCAAACATTTAGACTTTAATATACATAATACTATTTAAGAATGTATATGTTTAGCCAATATAAGTATGTATGTTTAATATTTCTAGTCAATTTATTTCACTCAAAAACATAAACATAAACACAGCTGCTGGTGCAGGACAAAAGCTGCCTGCGCTAAAGCAGCGCTGATGCTGATGCTCGTGCTGTAAAGCTGCCAGCACTAAGAGATCGCCGAATTCAAATTGATAATTTGAACTTTTTGTCCTTTTTTCCGGGGGTCACTATAATTCACATTATGTTAAAAAAAAAAAAAAAAAAACAAACAAGAAGGCATATTTATATAAAGTTGTTTAGCTGAGTAACGGGTATCTAATAGTCGAGGCACTCGACTATAGCGTTCTCTCTTGTTGTTTTTCATTAAACGCAAGGAAGGAGATATTTCCGACAACACAGTAAGTAATGCATTCTTGATAAGCATCACCCGAAGGGTCGCAAACAGACGCAAACTTATTCTTCAGTTTTAAAGCTATCTTTATTATAGAGATATATCGCACAACTATATCATACATTTAGCTCCCATAGAAACATTCCGAAAAAAAGATTAAACTATATTATACTGTGGCTCAGATCGACGAAAAAATACCAGAAATTTGCATAGCGTTGCCAGTCTGCGGAAATGAACTTTGGCTGAACCCTAGCGAAAAGATTAAAGCCTAGTACTCAGATCGACAAACGAGTACGCTAGCTTAAAAACTTTAATCTTTCCAATGCGACCAAAATTTCAAGAGTTCAGTCAACTGGGTCAGCAGTTAGAATTCAAATATCGTATTTGCGGGAAAGAGCCTTTAAAAGATATTATCAACTACCTTGGCAAAACTGCCGCTGTACAAAGAAATGAAAAAACAATACAATTTAAATTTAACAATTGTTTTTTTTTGTTCAGTGAGAAGCGCACGCCAAAAGATTCAATTTTTAATCTTTGCGCTAGGGTTCACCCAAAGTTCATTTCCGCAGTCTGGCAACGCTATGCAATTTTCTGGTATTTTTGTCGTCGATCTGAGGACCGAGGTGAAAAAAAAACGTTGACGAAAAGTAAACGCCAGCTGTTTGCCTCTCGCTCTCTCT